CCAGAATGCTGTTGAGCTGGCCTATTGGAGGCAGGAGGTTATAGAAGCATGAGAAACTAGGAAGGCTCATTCCATCTGGGACTCAGGGGATGCCAAACTCCAGGCTCTCGTTTCCTCCGCTGGGAAAGTAAGAAGATGGGATAACTCCAAACTCTTCCAGGCATAAACTGCTACCTTTGTCATTCTATTCGAAGTAAGTATTGTTCTTCATTTCAAAGATGGGTCAAAGGCAGCTTAGAAGTATAAACTTGCTGTGCTCAGTGGTACATAACTGTTCTCACAGCTATGAGAGGCGGACAGCAGGGTCCCTGGAGTCTAGATGCTAGTGTAAGACTAATCTGGGCAACAGAGCACGACAGCAACCTACAATATTACTTCTCTAAGTCTGTAAGGATACTCTGCTCTGTGTGTTGGGTGTCGTCCTGAACTTGGGTGTGCTGGGCACGCACACGGCTTTGATCCTAGCACCTAGGCAACAGTTGGTCTTGACAGTGCATCCATTAGTTAGGACAGACTCCTTTGGACTTTGTATAGCATCAATGCCATAAACTTCATAAACCAAGTATTATTGAGTTTTTATTATTTTTGGTTTTATTTTTGAGGCAGGGTCTCTGTAGTCCTAGCTGTCATGGAACTCACAATGTAGAACAGGCTGGTCTCAAGCGCATAAAGATTCAATGTAGATCAGGTGGTCCTCAAACTCACAGAGATCTGCCTGCCTCTGCCTCCTGAGTACTGGAATTAAAGGCGTGTGCCACCACGACCCAGAAAAGAACTTTGTATTTTCAACAACAATCCATCCTCCTCCCTCTTAATTTTTTTCCAAGAGTTTATTATTCTGTCCCTACCTGTGAGCTAACATCAGTGTAGTCATCCGGTCCATTAGTAATAAGGAAAAGGGATGCGGCTGGAATGATGCAAGCTGGCTCTGTGAGCACTGGGTGCTATCTTGGTATAAGCAGATTAACACACTATAGAAACAATAAATTTGCTTCATTTTCAGAGACCAAGGGTGGTCTCTTCTCAGTCAACTTGTTAGTATCATGCATATCAGGACAGTATACATTTTAAGCTGCAAACTGAATAAACGAAGCCAGGAAGCACTTTGATTACAATGCCAAACCTACACAAATCACCAAAGACATTATTAGATAAATTAGAGGTTTAAAAGTACATCCTTCCTGACACTGGCAATGTGGGCGTCTGCACATCACAGCTGTGTTTCAGCAGGCTGGGCAGATCTCTTCTGAGGTAATAGGAATTCTGGAAGGTGGGACGTTTCCATCAATTATCTCAGATTCCACGGAGCAGTTCCTAGCCCACGGGAACATGGCGGGGCTGTCTCCTCAGCATGCATCTGCCTGGGTAATGGCAAACGATGCTGATTCCTGATCACCCCCTTCTCCTCTAATCACAAGGAGTTTAAGTCTAAAATAGCACATTCAACTAAAAATAAAGAAGGCGAATTCTCTACCTGACAGTATCCTTTTTCTTAGTGGACTATGTGGAGTTAACGGGCTGGGTCCCTTCCTCTGCAGGCTGTTCTTTGTCTAGCAGCCTCTAGGAGCGCCACCTGGAGTCAGTTGGTTGAGCCCACACAGCACAGGTTCTTTCGTGTCTTGTAGGGATCTAACTCATGCCCACCAGGTGCCTCGCGCCCACCACTCTGCACTTGGGGTTCACAGCAGTAGTCTCCCTGCTGTGCCTATCAGCATAAGCTTAGCAACTATTTTTTGCTCACTCTGACTAGGTTGATATTCAAGAAAAACCTACAGTATCCCAGGTTTTCTGTGGGTTCTAATTAGCTGCTACAAAGTCACCCAAGACTAAACTAACAGTAGTACAAGTACAAGATCACAGAGTGAAGTTGTCCTAGCAGGAAATTCTGTCACCTTTCTCCCAAAAGCAGACCGCTTGTGTCCTGAGATAGCCCTTGCCAGAGTGTCCGCATGTGATCTTCCATGCTGGATCCTGTGTGCTCAGGTCTGTTCCCTCAAGGGCTTCAGACAACACCATGCTGCAGTGTCCTCCCTGGGTGTCTGTACATGGCACCCTCCTACATTACAGGGTGATGTCTGCTGATGGGTGCCCTCTGCATCTCCCACACTGTAGTGTTCATCTGCTTTGGGAAGCGCTGCCCGGTGCCCGTGTCTGTGCTCTGCCTAGTGCTCACTGAAGAGCTGCTGGCTGAGATACGAATGCTCTCCTGTGCACCTTCATTTATAATGAGTGTTTCCTGCCGGGCAGTGGTGGCGCACGCCTTTAATCCCAGCACTCGGGAGGCAGAGGCAGGAGGATCTCTGTGAGTTCCAGGCTGGGCTGGACCGACAGCCTCCAAAACAATACAGAGAAACCCTGTCTCATAAAAACCAAAAAAGGTAAATAAATACGTAATTTCCTGAAATTATGTGTGTGGAGGTTGGAGGACAGTTCTGGGGTTGGCTCACTGCTGAGTTTGTGTGGGGCTGTGAGGATGAGGATTAGGGAAGAAAGTACCTCCAGAAGGTACTCAGGTATGTGAGCAGTGTCCTTCCAGCGCACTCCCATACCATGCCCCTGAAATCTGTGAGCAACTTGTTCCCAGGCGCTTCTCTGGGGCCTGCAACCTTTGTCACTGCTTGCACTTTGGATGTGATTTAAAGTAAATGTGTAACAACTGAGGAATCCTGAGTCTTACTATCAAGCCAGCTAAAATGCATGGTGTATTTATAATTGCCTTTCACTTTGCTTCCTGCTCTCTGAGCCCTTCACACGCCAGGCAACGTCTGCAGCAGATTGCAGAGTCCTTTCTAGTCTGAACAGCATATGTGCATTCACCAAAATTTAAATAAATCGCTGAGGAGGGAAAGTTGTAGTTTATTTTCCTAAATTATTTTACCAATATATTTTACATAGAAATTTTATTCTTTCAAATATCCGATTTTAAGTCTTGGGAGAGCCTCAAGTGCACTCTTGGAAAGGAGGTCAGGACAAGGTTTTTCTACACAGCCCTGGCTGTCCTGAAACTCACTATGTAGATCAGTCTGGCATCAGACTCACAGAGATCCTCCTGCCTCTGCCACTAGAGTGCTAGCATTAAAGGTATGCCACCATGCATGGCAAATTAATTCAATTTTAAGGCCTCCCAAAGTTAAAGGAATTTTAAACCATGAGTTGACACCAAGATGATGTTCCATTGACATAAAGCAAACAATGTAATGAACACAGGAGCCCCAACAGCATTCCTTACTTCTGGGAAAACCTACCTTCTACTAGAAGCACATTGAGCAAATGACATGACTTCCATGGTAATCCTGCTTCTCTTCATGCAGTAACTGAGGAACCATTGTCAATGGTGTCAAAGGTATTGTCCATTTCTCATTATTCCATTGTGGAAATTTTCAGATGTACAGAAAGGGTAAGATACTTTTATTGTGGGATATTTATGCACTGTGTGAAGATGTGTTGCTGTGATTGGTGTAATAAAAAGTTGAATGGCCAATAGCTAGGCAGGAGAGGATAGGAAGGACTTTGGGGCAGAGAGAGACCTCTGGGAAGAAGAAAGGCAGGGTTGCCAGCCAGATACAGAGGGAGCAGCATAGGCAGTACAGAGTAAAATTTACTGAGCCACATAAAAGAATGTAGATTAAAAGATACATGCTAATTTAAGTTATAAGAGGTAGTGGAGATGAGCCCAAGCTAAAGGCCAAACTTTCATAGTTAATAAGAAGTCTCCATGTCATTATTTGGGAGCTGGCTGGCAGGAAAGAGAAAGACTCGTTACATATTTTCCCATTGAAATTCATATACCCAGTACTTAGATTCTGTCATTAACACTATGCTCTTCATTCGCTGATTAACTCCATACCCCTTATTCTTCATGCACATTAAAGTGGTTTGCTGGTGTCAGTATACTTCCTTCTACATGCCTCGATGTGCGTGTCATTAACTAGAATTCAGTATTTGTTTACAGGTTTTACCAGAATCTATATATTATAGAATGCACAAATTGTCTATTCATGGATTATTAATAAGTGCATGTGCCCGTGTACCTCAAATCCCTACTGGAATATAGGCCCACCAGGCTCCTCTCAGGTCACTTCTTACCCAGTCTTGCCCTGTTCTCATTCTTTCCACCATAGATTAGTCTCTCTGAACTTTTATAAATACATGTATTCTTTTTTCCACTCAGCAAAATGTTCTGGAGACTTATTCATATTATGCATATTAATAACACACTCCTTTTCACTACAGAATAGGTTTTCCTATTACTACATAAGCTTGTTTATTCTCATGATGGACATATGAGCTGTGTCCAAGTTTTCACTGAGAGGTAGAAAACTGCTGTAAACATTGGTGAGTCATTTTGTAGATGTGTTTTCATTTCTCTTGGGTAAATACGTAGAAGAGGAGCTAATGGGTTAGAGTAGGTGTGTTGTGTTTAGCCTTACTGTTGTTTTTGTTTTCCAGGCAGACTTTATCCCTGTATGTACAGGACATAGTCATGTAAATTTGGTATCCATAAGTAGGTAGAAAGATACCCATTGAAGCCAGGCGGTGGTGGCGCATGCCTTTAATCCCAGCACTCCGGAGGCAGAGGCAGGCAGATCTCTGTGAGTACGAGGCTGGGCTGGACTGATAGCCTCCAAAACAATACAGAGAAACCCTGTCTTGTAAAAACCAAAAAAAAAAAAAAAAAAGATACCCATTGATATCTGATATTTATAAGTTACCTTGATAATAAACACCTTAATAATCAGTAGCTTAAAGCAAAAAATACCTTTAGATCACAGATGGATTCTAAAAGGATGAAAAATAGAATAGAAAGTACCAGAACAAACTGACATGGGGTGGCCATATGGGAAATACAGCCTAGACAAGAAACATGCGACATTTTTATATTACACTAACAACTAGGGGATTCATTCTCAGAATTTCTGGATGCAGGAAAAGAAGTCTCCAGGGAGGGTGGAAATGAAAGTATATAGACACTGAAACTGGTTCCACCAGCATGTAAGTACAAGGATACTACCCTTTTTAAAAAGACTCTTAATTGTTTTATTTATGTGTCTGCGTGCTGCAGTGTGTGTGTCGTGTGTGCATGCGTGCATGTGTGCGTGTGTGCATGCCATGCATGTGTGCATGCCATGCATATGCAGGTAATCTGAGGAAGCCAGAAGAGGATGTTAGAGCCTTTGAAGCTAGAATGATGGAAGTTTTAAGATTCCCAAATGGGTGCGCTGGGAACTGAGCTTTGTCCTAAGGAGCAGGAAGTACTGAACTACAAAGACGTCTCTTCAGCCCCAAAGACATTATTTGTTTTTGTTTGAGACAGGGTCTTACTATGTAGTGCCAGCTGGTCTGCAAATTGCCATGTAGACCAGGCTGGCCTTGAACTCAGAGAGATTCTCTTGCCAAGTGCTGGGATTAAAGGCCTACACCACCACTACTGGGCACCAAAGACCTTCCCATAGATGATGGCATTAAAGCCAGGCATGATGGTCAGCCCAGTCTAAATAGTGAGTTCTAGGACAGCCAGGGCTACACTGAGAACCCCTATCTCAAGAAGCAGCACAGCAAAAAAGTCAAATGAAGTTATTGCTACGGTTTGAATGGCATTTGTCTCCCCCGTAGACTGGTGTGTAGGGAATTCAGTTGCCAGGCAGCAGTGTGTTGAGCCTTTAAAAGCTCCTCAGGTCACTAGGACAGGTTCTTGAAAGAGAAGGTGGAACCTCCAGCTGTTTCCTACCTGAAGATGCTGCCACTCACCCCAACACGACTCTGCCATTGTGATGCACCACTCACCATGACAACCTTACCAGAAACTGAACCAATAGAGGTGCCATGTCTTTTGGCCTCCAGCACCATGAGCGTAAACCTCTCAGAAAGGAACTGCTTCCAGTATGTCACTGTAGTAAAACAGTCATAAAGGTGGGTCTCAATCCAGCGGGTTTGTGAAAGGGGGTGAGATGGCATATGCCTGTAGGTCCATGATACAGAATTGCACTTGTGAACCCATCATGGGCTACACAGACACCCTGGAAGAGAGTCGGGGAGGAAATCTGAATGCAGATACATAGAGTGAAGTCCCTGTGAAGACAGGGAGAGAGAGAAGCCTGAGGATGACACTGACACCCTGATCTGCTGTTTAATAAGCTATGAAGCTTTGTTACAGAGTCCTGACTAAACAGCAACAGGATGTCTTCATATTAGAAGGTGCAGCTACCTTTACAGCCTTTGCTCTTTTATTTGCAGACTAATTTCTTTAGGGTCCTGGCCATCACTAATTTAATAATAGTTCTAGTTGGCAATCATTACAAAAATGTGAACTGTCCACCTTAGAAAAAAGTCCTGAAAGAACATGTCTTTGGGGCCTGGGAAGATGGCTCAGAGGGTATGGATGGGTGCTTGCTCTATACATGTGAGGGTCTGATTCACGTGCAGAACACCCAGGAAAAGGACAGGCATGGCTGTGGGACACCCCCAGCTTCCTACTCTGGCCTCTGTGAGTGTGCACTTGCCCATTCACATGCATGCAACACACATGGAACATGTCTTTTTTTAGTGTGTGTGTTATTGTGTGGCGTATACATGTATGATGTATATGGGTGCATGCATGTCACAGCACGCATGTGGTGGTGTGAGGACGGCTCGGCAGACTCTGGACTATACCGTGTGGATGCTGGGGTGCACACTCAGGTTGTCAGGCTTGAACGACAAACACCTTTACCCACTGAGTCATCTTGCTCAATGGTCTACTACTGTATGTCTTAGTTTGTTTTCTATTGGTTTGGTAAAAATACTGACCAAAACCAACTTGGGGAAGAAAGGGTTTATTTCATCTTACAACCCTTCGACCTGCATCACTGAGGGGTGTCAGAGCAGGAACTGAAGCAGAGACCATGGAGGAATGCTGCTTCCTGACTTGCCCAGCTTCCTCTTTTATATGATTCAGGACCACCTGGCCACCTACTCACAGTGGGCTGGACCATCTACATCAATCAGTCAAGATGCATCCTCCCAGACTTGCCTATGGGCCAATCTGAAGGAGGCATTTTTTCAGTTGAGGTTGTCTCTCTCTCCACATGACTATCTTGTGTCAGAGTGACAAAGGGTAGACTTGTGATGGCAAATCTTGGTTGTCAGCTTAACTGCATCTGGAATCAACTAAAACCTAAGCTTCTGTGCCTCCTGTGAGGAATTTTCTTGATCGGATTTGAAACAGGAAGATGACACTTCATCTGGACCACACATGTGGAGCAGCCCGGTACAGGACATGGAAAAAGGAAGCTATGCTTGCTGCCTTTTTAATCCTCACTCTCCATGACAAGTCCACCTACCCTGTTGCTGTGTCACTGCTTCACATGTATTATAGTCACCTTCTTTATATTCTAACACAGAAGGCCAGGCACCCTTTAGGCCTTCAGCACCAAACTGGGGCAGCTGAGACATCCAGCCTTGTAGACCGAACAACTACGGGATTTTCAGCCACTCTGGCGTGGGACAGCCATTGTTGACTACCCAGAGGGCATCCCGCGAGCCCACTTTAACGTATGTATTCATTGTGTCAGTGCTGTTCCTTAGAGAGCCCTGACTAATGCCCCCTGTACCTCATCCATCCCTATGGGATGGCACTGCACCTTGGCAGGCATGTCTGCTATGTGCTTGTCTTCCATGCTTCGGGCCTTACAGCGGTTCCTCAAACTATAAAATTATTCTTCAAAGTATAACTGTGATAAATGAGATATGTGAGAGACTTCCAAAGATAGACAACATTACACAGTGTTAACCAACACTGTATTTGAGGTGACACTTAGAGTAACAGAGGCACCTGGTGTGTCTATTTAAGAAACCGGGGACACTGAAGGAAGTACAATACACACGTCACCATAAGAGACCCCACATGCCCCAGAAAGGCTCCTGCGGGTCCACAGCTAAGTTGCGCACCAGTGGCATCTCTACACCATACAGATGGGCTTTACTTGAAAGCAAAGTCACATATTACAAAATCCCTGTTTTCTGGCAAATCCCAATGATGTTTAAAAGCTAAACTAAGTTAAAAAGAACACAAAGTCTCTGAAATTGACATTAGTTAACATCTTTTTAAAAACCAAGTTTGGGGCTGGTGTGCCAGCTCATCTGGTAAAGGCTCTGTCACAAGCCAGGTGCTAGAGTTTAAGCCCAGAGCACATATGGTGAAAGAACAGGCTCCTTAGGTACCATCCGACCTCCATGCGTGCACTGTGGTGTGTGTGTATGTGTGTGTGTTTGTGTATGTCTGTGCATGTGTGTGTGCGCGCGCACATGCTAACACACGAGATGTAAAAACTAAAAAATGTTATCACTTGTTTTAAGCACACATTTACTTTTATATATTGAGCTCATTTCATTTACTTACACAGTCAATTCAGTTAGAACAATGAGATTTTTAGTGTATTAAATTTGAAGTTGTAGATGTTCTAATCTAAACAGTATTTCTAAATAGTACTTTTTAAAAACCTGCTTTTCCAAAAAGCCTCAAATGTCTCTCCAGTTGATAGGAACTGGACAGAGTTCACTAAGGATGAATATCACATGCAAAAACTAAATCAGGCAGCACATGATCAACTGTGGTCTCCCAAGTATTGCCTTGTCTGTCTGTGCTTTTTCCCACTGTGTGCATGCATATGGTGTGTGCATGTGTACATACGAGGGGCACGTGTGTGGATGTGCTTGCATGTGGAATCCGGAGGTTTGGTGCAGGGAGTTACCTCAGTCACTCAGGCCCATGTCTGTCAACCAAACCCAGAGTTGGCAGAAGCAGCTGGTCTCTGTGGTTCAATGCTGGAATTACAGGCAGGCTGCCATGTCCACCCAGCGTCAATAAGGGTGCTGGGGATCTCCGCTGCTTCCTCACACTTGTACACAAGCACCTTAGGCACAGACACATTTCCCCAGACCTGGACTGTGCTACTTTGTTCTAACATAACTATGTACATATGCATGCAGTTACTAGTCAAATAACAAGCCGGCCTTTAAATGTTTACCAAGGGATGGAAAAGGACTAACAACAGGACCCGTCTCTCCTTCCATTCCCCAGAGACACCCAGTGAATCAATTAGCAAACTTTTAAACTAATGCGGACCACTTAACTAACATTAGCATGGAATTCCCATTGGGGGAGAGAGTGCCGGAAAAAACCGTGCTCACAGACTGCTCGTTAGACCCTTGTACACGTGTTTGCTGCATTCTGCACAATACGAAAGTACGAACCAACCCAGGTACACCATTCCTTCCTTTCATCCATGTAGGAGTATGAAGTCATGTCGAAACTAGATGCAGTTGGAGATCATATATTAAACATCTCAGAAAGAAATACCATGCTGCCTTTCATTTGTGGTTTCTAGACATCTAGGTATATAAAGTCACCTATGTACACATGACATGAAAGGGCGAAAACTACTCAGGGGAACAGAAGAGACTCCTGAGAAGGACTGGAAGTGGCCATGGGAGCGCACGCCTTTAATCCAAGTATTCTGGAGGCAGAGTCAGGCAGATCTCTTAGTTCCAGGCCAGCCTGGTCCACAGAGTGAGTTCCAAGACAGCCAGAGCAAAACAAAGAAACCCAGTCTCACAAAAACCAAAGTGTGTGTGGGGGTGGGTGGGTAGGAGGGTTGCTCTATGTATAATATATACTTGTATTAAAGTGCTAATAGTCTTTTAAAAATGTAAATCAGTGGGGCTGGAGAGATGACTCCATGATTAAGATCACTGTGGGTGGGCTCTTCAGGGGACCTGATTCATTGCCAAGCACAAGTCCAGTTCCAGGGGATATGACATCTTCTGGCCTCCCTGGTATCAGACATACACTCAAACAAAACACTACTATATATAATAAAATATAGCTTTAAAAAATCAGAGGCTCCTCCTAAGTAAGATCAGGTGACCCCTGAGCCTCAACTGGCTTTGCCAGTACAAGAAGGGAAATGGTTTAAAATAGTGTGAATGAAATATGGGGGATGACTCAATGGTAGAACTGTTGCCCAGCACCTACAAAGCTTCTGTCCCCAGTACTGCAAAAAGTCAGACAAAAAGGAAGCCAAGGCCAGTGTTAATTGTGTACTTGGATAACACACCACCTCCCTGCCAACATTTCAGAGATTTAGGGATGGCACAGCACCTTCCTACCTTTGCACCTGCTTATTTCAAACCCCAAACCTAATTAAATGTAAGTTTGAAATTAGGCAAGTCATGTCATGGTCCCTTTTTGTTTGTTTATTTAAGCACAGGGCTCTGGCTTTTCGAGTTCAGCGACTGTCTCCCTGCATTGCCTCCTAGTGTCTGTGGGTTCCAGCTCTGCTCCAGGCTGTCTACACGTTTTTGGTGCCACACTGGCTTCTCTTCCCTTCCTCACACTCTAGCTGTCCCTCCTGCTTCCTGCTGAGAGCTGCAAGTGTGTGGGCATTGCTTTCCTTTCAAACTTAAAACGAAGCCTTCTCATGGAGCTCTGAACCAGCTGTGGAGATTGGCCCTCTGGAGGCTGGCTGTGGAGACTATCCCTCTCTCTCAAGATGCAACAGATACCTAGGTACATGTAAGAGCTCATAGATGGAGCCCATATGAGCAGCCTGTCCTGTGTTTCATCTAGATTTAGTTTTAGACAATTAAGGAAAGATCATAGCCAAGTCTGCATATCTGTAAATACTGTATTTAGGGATGGTGGATTTTTTTTTTGGAAACATCTATTTTAAAAGTATGTACTACTTTTAAGCTGTTCTGATGGCACTTGGGAGGCAGAGGCAGATAGATCAAGGCCAGTCTGGTCCTCAGAGCAAGTTCCAGGACAGCCAGGGATACACAGAGAAACCTGGTATTCAAACAAAATTGCTTTAGGGTTGGAAAGATGGCACAACGGTTAAGAACCTGAGTTTGGTCCCCAGCATCCACACTAGATGACTCTCAACTGCCTGTATTTCACCTCAAGGGAGTCGGATACCCTCTTCTGCTCTCATGTGCTCATACCCCACAAACACATACACAATTAAAAATAAACCTTACATGGTTTAGAGCAAGTGCAAATAAAAATAAACCTTGGAGCCACCATGTGAAATGGAATCTTGGGGTTATCTGACTGAAAACCTGTGTTCTAAATCCTGGCATTTTACTAGAAATGCAACCTGGGCTAATTAACAATCTTCTTACTGTAAAAGGGGAACACGCATCCTATCATCCTATTTTTAGCTGTGCCTGTACTCAACATGCATCCTCAGAGGTACTCCATTTAAGCAGATTAAAACATGAAAATTTGCCTCATGCTAGAGATCAAAGCCTGGGTCCCATACATATTAGGAAAGCATTCTACCACCGAGCTACACCTCCAGCCCTTTACAGGCCAGTAAACAATTTGTAAAATAATTTCAGTGTTATTATCATATTATTTAATTAATGTTCGATACTTTAATTTGTAAGATGATTTCCTACTAGGTAATATGTTATCTGGTCCTTACAGGCTGTCAGGGGCTTATCAAAGAGCATATAAAGGCAATTCTCAGCACAATACATCTTCAATAAAAGAATCTGAAAGTCAAGAGAGGTAGAATTTTCTGTTGCTCTAATTCCTTAATCCTTGAGTAAATACCAAGTTATGACATTATCCTTCACAATCCTTTGAGGATACGTTGTCTGTTACTAAAGAAATTATAACAGAACCAATCAGACATTAGGATACTACGCAGACAACTCCTGCCTGTAAATAGATGAGGTCGGTGGCTTTTTCTTTATCTAGTTCTTTTGTGTATGTTGAGGGGGAGACAGTGTCTCATTATCTCAGGGTGGCTGTGAACTTCCTGTGTTTCTAAGACCGACACCTGACCCTCTGCCTCGGCCTCCCTAGTGCTAGACAGTAGGCGTGCACTGCCACGCCAGGTTTTATTTAATTTTGTTTTATCTATTATATATCTACCTCACAGGGTTTGAAAGTGAAATTCTGTATGACGACCGGTATGTGGTATCACTTGTGGCGAGTTACCAGGATCCTTCCGGGTGACTTTCAGGCTGTCTGTAGTCATCGGGACTGGGAAGCACCTTCTCATGGGCCAGCCCTTCTGTCTCTCGGGATCACGGATGCTGCTGCTGTTTGCAGTTCATTTTATGCTTGTCTTCATAAAGAATTCTAGAATGCTCTTCCGTGCCCAGATGCGTGCTGTGGTTAGGGTTACCATTCAGCATGTCTGTGAAGGACATAACTTTCTAGAGCCCATGTGGAAACAGGAGGCAGCTCCCTGTGTCATCCTCACACAGCATGGTGCCTCTGCACTAAGTCATGCGGCACAGAGCCAGAGCCAGAGCCAGAGCCAGTGGAGACAGACGAAGCAGTGGCCAGAAAATGACACAATGTGAGGCTGCTCTAGTGTCTGCTGTCAACTAGTTCTTGTGAGACCGACATCCTTTGTCCTATTCTGCTTCTCAATTAAAAAAAAAAAAAAGGTTTACTGGTCATAGTTTTTTTTTTTAATTCAAATTTTCATTTACTGACCCTGTCAGTCTTTTCAAAGTCAAAATGCAATTTTTTTCTCTGGTCCCATGCAGAGAGGCATTTACAGAAAATTGCAGTGAATTACTCGACCCTTAGTTTCAATTTTATTTCAACCTTGGCGAACAGAAGCTTTGTCCTCGGCATTTTCCCAGAATTTTTTACAATAGTTTCTCATCTTGTCAGCATCAGGAGCCAGGCTGAGGTTCCCACCTGGCCCCTGCTTCCGTATGTTCACTATTCCCCGTCCATGTGCCTTTCTCTCTTCTCTTTCCTTCTTGTTTATTTTCTGAACTTAGCAGTGGGGACTCCACTTGGCTGTGCTCACAGCAGGTAATAAGTACCCTGGTGGTTACTGGATTGCTTTCTCGGGATGGTTACAGAGGAGGAGTGTAATTAAGCTTTTCTCAAGCTGCCAACTGCATTGGAGGTTGGTGGGGTTTTTTTTTTCTTGTATATTTAAGGCTCATTTAAAAATAGTTCCTTCAAAATCTGAAGTATTTAACCAGTAGCATTCCTAAGGGAATATTCTTTTATCAACTAGAGGTCATTTAAGATTGCTGGAATATGTGTCAAGTAGAAGAAAGGCCTGTTCTATCCAGAAAGACTATTCTGGATGCTGGGCAGTTTCTTTCCCATTTGTTTATTTGACCAATATTTTCTGACTTATTTAGTGTTTATGATCTTTAGTAGGGTTCTTTTACTATGCCATCAATTCTTTTTAAAGATTTTATTATTTTTAATTGTGTGTGTGTGTGTGTGTGTGTGTGTGCACATGTGTGCAGGTGTCCTACGAGGCCAGAAGAGGGCGCTGTGAGCCAACCTATGTATTGGGAATGAACTCATGTCCTCTGGAAGAAGAGTGCACTTTTAACCACTGAACCATCTCTCCAGCCTTGTGTTTTACATCATAAAGTAGAAAAGCTACAATGCATTTTTTTGTTGTTTTTTTTTTTTTTATGAGACAGGGTTTCTCTGTATTGTTTTGGAGGCTATCGGTCCAGCCCGGCCTCGAACTCACAGAGATCTGCCTGCCTCTGCCTCCCAAGTGCTGGGATTAAAGACGTGCGCCACCACCGCCCGGCCCGCTACAATGCATTTTAACAGGTAACGATTTAAAATTTTTGAGCATACATGAAAATTTAAAGTTCAAAATTCTTCATATTTGTAACAAAATTATCTAGTCATAATAGTACTTGATACACTCATGAGCTGTGAGTGATAAATATGTGAACTCAAGGTGTTTACAAATGGACTGTTGAGCATCATGATTCAATGAAGATCACTGACACTGCTTGATAAACTTGTGGATTATACAAAAGCAGACACAGTCTGGTTTTGAAAAGCTAGTTACAAGCTAGAGGGTTGGCTCAGTGGTTAAGAGCTGCTCTTCCAGAGGACCCAGGTACAATTCCCAGCACCCACATGGTAGCTCACAACTGTTACTTCACACCAATGCACACAAAATAAAATTAAACACATTTTTTAAAAAAGCAAGCAAACAAAAGGCCCAGTTGCTCCGCCCCCTGCTTTTCCTCTGTCTCCCTTTCCCATGTGATACCACAAAACAACTGTAGCCTTTGGTGGTAAGCAGTAAATAATCATGGAAAATACAGAATTAATTTTGTCACAAATATGTATATCCTCTTTTTGTTTTGTTTTAAGACACGGTTTCTCCATATAACTGTGGCTTTCCTGGGACTTTGTAGACCAGGCTGGTCTCAAACTCAGATGCTTGCCTCTGCCTCCCAAGTGCTGGGGTGATGGCATGCGCCACCAACACGACTTGCCGTGTGTACTCTTTAGTGACCGGCCTGTGGGAAATCCTCAAGTGGGTAAAGGTTTTGGTTTGGTTCAGGATATGACACCCCGAGTGCAGTGCCTTGGAGCAAGTGCTCTGAGCTGGGAGAGACTGCAGACCTTGCAGCTTGGTCCCTGTGCCTCCTTTCCCTGCTCTCCTTCCCTCTGCTCCTCCCACCACCTCTGCAGCTGAGTCACAACTGCCAGAACAGCTCTTCCCCCAAAGTGTGTCACAGAAACTGATTTCTCTCCTCAGATCGAACCATAACTCACAAGGGTCCATTTCCCCTTCTTTCTCGAAGACCATCCCAGAGTCCTATACCACACCAGAGGAGGCAGCTGCAGAGCGCCACGGAGCCAGAGCTGACAGGCCTCGCTGACCCTTAGATAAGGCCATTTTGTGATATCATCTCCACATGGCTGTCCGTTACTCATCCAACCAAAGCACAAAAACAGCTTCTCCTGGGTCTTTATTTCAGAAGCCTCCTGCGTCGCATGAAACTTTGATTAAATAAATTCATGATGCTTTTCTCTTATTAATTTTTGTCTATTGTTGCCATGTTAGCCACAAGCCTTGGTGATGGATGAAGAGAGCTGTCACCTTCCTGCCCCATGCTTGTCTAGAACTTGTTTACAGGTTCAACTCATCACGATTTAGCATTGTTACCGTTATCCTTGATCTCTTGGTTAAGGAACTGTTTCTAGGCTTCTCAAAGTTCTTTTCTTTGGAAATAAGCTGGACCAAACTCCATGCTGAAGTGGACTTAGCCCTATCTTTCTCCTGGAGAAAGCCACCTCACATCCAAGTTTTTTTCTAAGCGCACAGATGCAGCCTAGTCTTTTGGCAAACAAATAGGAAGGCATCCCATGGGACATCTAGTCAGGGTTTACAATGGTAAACCTCACAAAAGGAAGGAAGAACTGAGTACCTGTCGGGACTAAGTGCAATGGGGCACCCCAGATTGGGCCTCCCTTGCCCCCCTTCTCCTGGCCCCCTTCTCCCCACAAGTAGTCCTTAGCCACTAGAGTATTTTTCAGAAAGTCCTTGCCTATGTCTATTTTTAAGTGTTCGTCACTAGCAATGTCGAAGTACTAGTGGGAAGTTGATGAAACACAAACTAAGTCTGAAATTCAGTTCATAATAATTAAGCAATGCAACTTTCTCAGCTTTGTTACATGTTCTGTGACAATGTACGATGTTAACACTAAGGTGAGAAGTACTTTGGAGTTGACTAGGGTTTAGCTTAATGAGAGAATTTTTGTTTAGGTCCTGGGCTCGATCCCTATGCAAACAAACAGAAAGCCAGGACCTTGTGCTGGAGGGGAGACAGGGACCGGAGAGGCCAGTGAGGTGGCAGGCTGTGCTGTACAGAGCACGGAGGCACATATGTTGGAAAATACCCCATATGTTGGAAACCTGCCTGTATGCTAACTTGAAAAATTAGTAATTTTCAAAAGCAAAATCTTAGTCCTCTTTAAAAAAACACTTGAGAAATTGGCTGTTTTGGGAACTGTTTGCGGGGTAATGGGCGAGAGTAAAGGGTTCCATCTGAATTCACAGCCTCGTCCACTCTGCTCCTTCCCAATCCACGAAGCCAGTGCAGCGATCCCTGCTCCCCTCGGCCCTGCCGACCCCACACGCTCCCCTCCTTTCCTTAGCCCGGAGAGAAGTTCTTCAGTTCACACCCACACTTCCTTCAAGTCTCTACTAAACGTTACAGCAGAACTGTCTCATTCACTGACTTTAAAAATGAAAAACAACAAAAGCCCTTAGCTGATGGTATCGTTTGTCCATTTCTTACTTGTCAGTGCTTATCTTCTTCCCATCACCCCATAACCGAGTCCCCCACAAAGGAACCGTTTTCCTTCTTGTATGAACTTTGAGTCATTTTCCATCCTAAAGTTTTGTGGCAAGGGTACAAAATGTCTTCCTACCATTTTCATACATGTATGTAACTGTATTTTGATCATATTCACCTGTCCTTGTCCCCACTTCTCCTGGTCCCCTTCTTCCACACAGGTAGTTCCTGAGCTACTGGCATGCCTTTTAGACAGTCCTTGCCTACACCCATGTCTCGAAAAGGTCTTCCCATATTTTCCTCCAGCAGTTTCAGAGTTACAGTAAGGGGAGACTTTCAGGGTCTATGGGATCACATAGGATCTTTGACATCATCCTTTTCTATTTGTATCCCTTTTATTTCTTTCTCTTTCTTCGTGACGTCAGCTACGCCTTCAGGTGCCGCAGTGAGGAAGCCCAGAGAGAATGAACACTTGTCTGGGTTCTGATTTCAGGAAAAGGCTTTCTGTTTCCCTGTGCACCATGTTGCCACATTGTGTTCATGGCTTACCCTGGAGCACTATGTTGCTTGTTTCTAATTTCTTCGGGACTTTTACCATGGATGGATGCTGAACTTGACACAGGGTTTTCCTGGAAGCATCCATGGAGATGATCTGTGATTTCTGTTTTAAGTCTCCTTGTGTACTATATTAGCAGCTTATTGTTTTCTATTTCAAACCATCCTTGCATTCCTGGAATGAATCTATCTAGTTAGCATATCTAATCAAGGAATACATTCTTTCTTTGACACCATGAGGAAACCTGAATAGCTCGCAATGTCTGAGAATTTTTCCAAATTAATGCCAGACATAAAATCATAAGTCCAGGAAACTCAGAGAGCACCAAGCAGGAGAATACCCCCTGACCCCCTACAAAACAAAACTCCTACATCTAAAAACATAAGTTTGAAACTACATAACAACAAATATAAAGAAAAAAATAATAAAATCAGTCAGAATGGCAGAGTGACCCTACCTGTAGAAAAAAAGCAATAAAAATTCCAGCTCCGAGCTGGAAAAGTAGCAGTTAGGAGAATGTTTACCTGCCATGCATGAGGCTTGGAGTTGGATTCTAAGCACCACATACAATATTTATTCTAACAAATAATATTGATAACATTTATGTTCTTATTGATATACATCTGCATCAGCATGCTTAAATATGCATGTGTAGCAAGTGTACTGAACAACGGTCGTGCCATGACGTGAGGGCGTCTGGGCCTGCCTTCCCCACTCTCAGGAATGAGGGTTACTCAGACTTGCTTTATTACATGGGCAGACACTGTGCTTTTTAAAGCCAGAAGTAACCATGCCATGTGGCCACAGCACATAGTCACTTCCTGTCTCTTTGTCACATTTGATAATTCTTGTGACATTTCAAGCTTTATCATCTTCATTTTTTATACTGATCTGCCGTGGGTCATCTCTGGTGCTGTTGCTATTGCAATGGTTTTGACTTTCCATGAACGGGCCTGTGTAAGTCTGAACTTACCTGGAAAATGTGTGTGTTCTCACTGCTCCAGACTAGCCGTCCCTGCTTTTCTCCTCTCCTTGGGCCTCACTATTCTTGGAGACACAATATTATTAAGGTTAGGCCAATAGTGGCCTCTAAGTCATCAAATGAGAGGGCGAACCATACATCTTTCATTTTAAATCAAAAGCTAGAAATGAATAAACTTAGTAAGGAAGGTATGTTGCATGCTGAGATGAGCCAGAGCTTGGTCTCTGGGCCAAACAGTCAGCCGAGCTGCAGATGCGGGGGGAGGGGGGGGCCAAGTGCTGCTCCAGTGAGCTCACGGGCCCTGAGAATGCAGTCTTGTTGCTGGTGTGTGGAAAGTGTCAATGTAGAAACCAACCAGTCACAGCATTCCTTTAGCCAAACCCTGCTTCAGAGCAAGGCTCCAACTGTCTTCAATTCTATAAAGGCTAAAAGAGATGGGAGATGGGAGAATCCGCAGCTAAGAAGCTGGTTCATAGGGTGTGAGAAGCATCTCCATCATAGATGATTGCAAACTCAGACTGGGTTTACAACTAGGTGGTAATGCAAGCCTGGATCTGATGCTTAGCGTGTGTGTGCGTGCTCACACACACATACACACACACACACACACACACACACACACACAGAGAGAGAGAGAGAGAGAGAGAGAGAGAGAGAGAGAGAGAGAGAGAGAGAGAGAGAGAATGAATGCTAGTGTAGAAGCTGAAGCAGGTTATCCAATAGATCTAGCTAATTTAGATGCCTTAGAGGCTGTGGAGGATGGACCTCTCTCCTTCCCTGTTGGTTTTGGATCTCCTGTTTCCCTGGTAACACTAGAAAGGTACACATCACCTTTGACCTGGCCAAAAGAATGAGCTGCCTCTGGCCTATTCTGTAGATTAGAACATGACAAACAACTGTCTCTTCCCTTAAGATCTTGTTAATGCAGCTGGGCCTGGCAGGGAGTCTACCCACCAGGGGAACTCTGATTCACCAGAAGGCTTGCTAAGAACAGGACAGGACTAATTATCTTATCCCCCTAATGTGGTAATGGATTTACCCTTCCCAAAAGCCCCTTCCTCAGTGGGTCTGTTTGTGGAGACTCCCACCCCAAGTTACTCAGAGAGATGAAGCTTCTCCTTTTTCTTGCTTCTCCTGGACAAAGGGCTAAGCAGAATTCCCCTTCTCTCTGGGCTTTTTCCCACTTGTCTGCCCCCTTTCCCCTCCCCCCTCGTGGCTTCTTGCCAACTTCAACTACTGCTTTCTTGTACCCTAACTCAAAAAGGGTGACTTCTCCCCCGCCTAGCAGCTGTTGAAATTGTACCATTTGCTCACCCTGTTCCTTTCAGACCCTAATAAAACTGTCCTCAAGTTTCCTTCCAGTCTGTTTTCAAATTATTTATTAAAGAGGCTAGGAACCCTGAAAGTGAACCCCAGATTTTCTTGGTAACTCTGAGGTGGTTTCTGAAGGTGGCAATACAAACAACAGATATTTGTTGGGAGTGAATGCCATGCAGGAATTTGACGGCCAGAGAGAGGCCACTGCCTGGCTTTCTTGGTAGAATGTGCAGTAGAGGTGGGAGCCTTGTTGAAGCCAGGACTCATTCACCATTCCTCAGATCCTTAAGATTACCCCGAATTCACTGTCTGTGGTCTGTAAATGAGACAGTGGTACTCACATGACAGTGTACCTATGCATGGCATGGTTTACTACCAAAGCAGAGTTCTAAAGAGAAGCTTAGTGAATATGCCAAAATGGGAAAGACAATGGACTTGCTTGGTTACAATTACAAAAGGCAGAGACTGAGAAGACAAAAATAAGGGGAAATAAAACTGAAGTCAGGGAACAGAAAACTAACAGATGATGGACACTGAGGCAGTTGTGTCAGTTTTCACTTCCAGTTTATGATCAAAATTAACAATTAATAACAGATTGTCACCATGTACCAATAAACAAGAACTTAACATGTGGACAGACTTCTGTGTTCATGGATTTTAATACTGTTCTTCCCAACTTTCTTTGTGTTTTTTGTTTGCTTGCTTGAAACAGACTCTTGCCCTATAAAACTGTAGTCCAGCCTGTTGTGGAACTCCATCAAGCCTAGGCTGACCTTGAATTTGTGGTAATCCTCCTGCCTCAGCCCCAAGGACTGGGATTACAGACATGAGCCAACACATTCAGCTACTCTTTCCAATTTGACCTAGAAGGTTCAACGCAAT